AGTAAGAAGGAAAATGTTTGAGGGTCCTAATTTCTGTGGCTCAAATGACTCAAATTTATCAAAACGACGTCGTTTTGGCAATTTTGATGTTGTTTTGTACTCAAAACGACGTCGTTTTGGCAAATTCGAGCCATTTGAGCCACAGAAATTAGGGCCCTCTATCATTGTTGTAGTAAGAATGTTAGAAATTTTGGATTTGAGTAGATGTAGCGATTGTGATCCTTTCATTATAATTTAATTTACTAACCCCTTAATATCTTATCGTGTATATGGCAAAAAAAATAAAAATAAAAAATAATCATCCCAAAATACATATCATTTACATTTAATTTTATTATCAAAATTTATATTTTTTAGATGTTGATTCTAAATAAATGGATATGAGGCAAACATTACTATCTCATGATCAAGGCCATTTTCAATTATAATCATGTATATGGCACATATTTCTGAAATTCCGATCATCTAAAATTTATAGCTAAATTTAAGTTAGGTAAATTATACTTAGCACCTTTGTATTTTTATCAAAATTTTACTTTAATTCTTTAATCTCACTATTACCGCAAATAGAAATTAAAAGGGAGAGTAAAGATTTTGGTGAAAGTGTAAGCATTAAAGTAAGATTTTAATAAAAATATAAGGATGTTAATAGGACAACAAAAATGTTACACATGTTTCACGTGACAAGATTTATCAACTTTGTTTATAATATAGATGGAAAGGGTTATATTGTAACTTGATTTGAAGTGTGAGATTAAGGGGTGATTTGGCACTTAGAGGTGGTTTGAGATGTTCTAAATAAAGGGTTGTTTGGGATGATCTAAATAAGTGCACTTTTTATCTTTTTACGAAAAGATGTGCAGAAAAGTAGAGAGGTGATGTGATGAAAAGAAGATAAAAAGATGGATTATTTAGTGGATGCCAAACCACCCCTGTGTACTTTTTAACTTTTTATGAAATATGTGTTGGGTATGGATTGGGTTTGAAATGATGTTGTAGAGAGTTGCTGCGACTTAAATAAGATGATGTGACTTAAATAAGATAGTAATTTTTTGACTTTTTGGCTTTTTTAGAATATGTCAAACAAGGCCCCATCTTTTTATCATTTTTGGGTCACATCAATAAACATCTCCTCTCTATTTTTTTACACATTTTTTTTAAAAAGTCAAAAAATGTACTTATTTAGAACATCCTAAATAACCGTTTATTATAATTAAAAGTGAAGTGACTAAAATAAAATTTTAATAAAAATACAAAAGTACTAAGAGATTGTTTGGGATGATCTAAATAAGTATATATTTTATCTTTTTACGAAAAGAAGTACAAAAAAATAAAAAGATGACGTGATGAAAAAAATAAAAAGATGAATTATTTAAAATATGCCAAACTTGCCCTTGGTGTAATCAATCCTTTAAGTTATAATTGAGTTAGCCCCAATTTTTTTTTTTATTATGTATTTTTATATAAGTAATATTACATAAGAGCATCTCCAGCAGCGTGGCTACTCTTTCCTTTTAGCCATAGAAGCGTAGCTATTTTAACTAGCCTTGCTGGAGATGCTCTAAGGGTACTTTTTAAAATTTTATAAAAAAAAAAATTAATAAAAAAATAATATAATTCAAGAAAAGATAAAAAAAAAAGTGTGTACTTTTGTCACTTTACCCAAACAAGTAAAGACACACGTCTTTTCACGTGAACAATACGTAGCCTCAGATGGTTGCTTTTCAAAATAGGAATGATAAGCTCTCTAATGTGGAATTGTCTTATCTTTTAGAAATTTTAATTAGGTTATATATCATTTCAATTATACTAATTATTTTTTGTCATATATAGAAAAAATAATAAAAAATAATGAATGTATAATTAATAGAATTGTAAAGATATATCACATAAAATATAAGATATGAAGCAGACATATATGATAATTTTTCTAAAAAAAATCCATCCCATGCCTAATTCATTGCTAGGATCAATATGGGAAAGGAGCACTCAATGGGAAAGGAACACAATTGAGTGGAATGATACTACGTACATGTGAATTAGATTGAATCATTTGTCATGTCAACTTTATCTTCTTTTATACATTTTCATTGGCACAACATAATGTTCATATTCATCAAGGATTCTTAATTATATGGAAAATATTTATGCCAAAGTCTTAACGTGGTATACTTAATCATTACTTAAGACTACTGAATCATAGAATTGGATAGGAGACATCAATTGAGATACTGATCAGTAACAAGACCTTATTTCAACCCACTCATTTGATTGCTACCGTCTCTATAATTTGATTGCTATAGTTTTCATATTAAGTTATGGACCGAACCGTATAGCGGTCTCTAAACTTGACCATGCAAATCAATAGCATATAACTTACCCGATTATAATTACTTCCACAATTGATATGAGTAGTTTGTACCATATTAAATCCAATTTAAATTTTAATAATTTATGATAATACGTTACATTTATTAATAATTTTCAAAAATTAAAAAATTCGTATAATATGTTTTTTAAAAACAAAAAAGAGAAAGAAGAAAGAATGTACCATTGTCACTTTTGAACTTCATTTATTTAGATTTTTTGTTTCTGGAACTATGACATATCATATTTTCTTTTAAAACTATACAAAAATTAATAGATTTACTACTTTGTTCAATAAAAATCAAGTTGAGATATCCTTATTTATAAAAGAAAATACTATAAATTCTAAATTTTTTATCACATTTTTTACTAAATAGTCACATAGTGATGTGAGTATTTGATAGAAAATTTAGGCCAAGTTTGGGAAGATTAAAAAAGTACACTTTTTGTCTTTTTGAACTAAAAAATTGAGGTTGAAAATATGGATGTTTGGGTTAACTTTTTGACTTTTTATTGAAAAAGTCAACAATTACGGCTGCACAACTCCCAATTCAAATTTTTCCCTAAAAATCAATTTTTAGGGAAAAATTTGAATTGGGAGTTGTGCAGCCGTAATTGTTGACTTTTGGTGAATAGTGTTAACTTTTAGAATTGGATAGGAGACATCAATTGAGATACTGATCAGTAACAAGGCCTTGTTTCAACTCACTCATTTGATTGCTACAGTCTCTATAATTTAACTGTTATAATCTCTATAATTTGACTGCTATAGTCTTCATATTAAGTTATGGACCGAACCGTATAGCGGTCTCTAAACTTGACCATGCAAATCAATAGCATATAACTTACCCGATTATAATTACTTCCACAATTGATATGAGTAGTTTGTACCATATTAAATCCAATTTAAATTTTAATATTTCATGATAATACGTTACATTTATTAATAATTTTCAAAAATTAAATAATTCGTATAATATGTTTTTTAAAAACAAAAAAGTGAAAGAAGAAAAAATGTACCATTGTGTCACTTTTGAGCTTCATTTATTGTAGATTTTTTGTTTCTGGAACTATGACATATCATATTTTCTTTTAAAACTATACAAAAATTAATAGATTCACTACTTTTTTCAATAAAAATCAAGTTGAGATATCCTTATTTATAAAAGAAAATACTATTAATTCTAAATTTTTTTATCACATTTTTTACTAAATAGTCACATAGTGATGTGAGTATTTGGTAGAAAATTTAGTAAAATTTTTTATATCCGTAACATTGCTGTCAAAACACTAATGTTGTGTTTGGTTGGGGGATTTGAAGAGGGATTTGGAAAAAGAAAGAGAAAAGGTGTGTGAAATTAGGTGAAATGTAGGTATATTTTGGGTTGTTTTGGGAAGTTGGTAAAAAGTTGACTTTTGACTTTTTACTAAGCTTTTTGACTTTTTTGGAAGTGATTTGAGAAGTTGGTAAAAAGCTGACTTTTTGCTTTTTAGTTTAATATTTATTTGTGGTGTCAAATCAAATTAAAATGACCAAAATACCCTTACCCAACATAAGAGATTTATTTTTTTATTTTTTTTTCATAGACCCTAATTTGTAATTTTACGGTTGCGTTTTTGACACTTGTCAAATGGCTTTTCTGGCGTTTTTAGCAGTCACGTTTTTGGACATTTTGGGGCTGTTTGGGAAGCTGCCAACGGGGCTATTATAGCCTCATTTGGTAAATAAGCCAAAAAGTGGCACTGTTCACAAGTTTAAAAAAAAAAAAAAAAAAAATTGGCACTGCGCTGGACAGTCAATGGGAAAATTACCATTTTGCTCCTTTATATCAATTTAAAAAAATAAAAAGTTAGGGACAAATCTGTCATTTTAAATTTAAACATCATTTTAACACATTTTTCAATACAATAACCCAACTAAAAAATCATCTCATCTTCCCAAACACAAAAACTAAAATAGTCACTAAAATAGCCACTTCCCAAACGAGGCCTTTGTCAGAAAACGTGACTTTTTACCATGTTCCCAAAATGACACTTTATTTATATTTCACTTAACTTTTTCCTTTCCCTTTCGAATTCCCTCATCAAATTCTCCAATCAAACACAGCGTAAAGATCTTGTTTGACAATTTAATTATTTTAATTGACTTTTTAATTATTTTATAAGATGAAAAAAAATTATATTTGAAATGATTTGTGAAATATAATTTTCTACAGGCTTCACATGTCAAATCAAACTTTCAAAACTCAATTCTACACTCAATTCCACACTCAATTCAACACTTTATTCAAAAACCATAACCAAACAAATTTTCTACACTCAAATCATAATTCTAAAACACACAAACTCAAAATACAACTCATATTCTCAAATCATAGTTACAAAGCTCTACCAAACGGAGCCTTAAGATCTTGTTTGACAATTTAATTATTTTATGAGATGAAAAAAAATTATATTTGAAATGATTTGTGAAATATAATTTTCTACAAATGAGTGTAACCGGAAAAGTAATTTATTGATATTTATTTTAACATTTTTTTAAAATTTTTATTACAGTAAATATTTTAGCCAAAAAGAAAAAAAACACTACTGCCAATCGGGCCTAAATAATTTTCTAATTTAGGAGGGGCCAGTGCGGACTTTCGCAGCAGAGCAATTGGGGTCCCCGAACACCTGGCGGTGCAGGAGAACCGCGCTTACAGAAGCCCAGTCAGCTCTGCTCTCCCCTTCCCAAGCATATGATCCAATGCGCCGGGTATGCGCATGGAGATAACATACGCTTCCTCCAGCTTGAGCGACCTCGCCACCTCCGCCGATCAGACATCCATGCCGACGACTGGGCGTCCGGTGAGGGTCATCCCCTTGGAGCACCCCACCGCCACCACCTCCACCTCCTCCTCTTCCTCTTCCTCTTCGTCTTTATCGAGATGGCGATCGAAGCTGAAGCGCATGACATTCGAGGAGTGGATCGAGCTCTTCATCCCTTGTTACCGTTGGATTCGAACCTACAAATGGCGCGACTATTTACAGCTCGATCTCATGGCCGGTATAACCGTCGGCATCATGCTCGTCCCCCAGGTTCTCTCTCTCTCTCTCTCTCTCTCTCTCTCTCTCTCTCTCACATCCAAATTGTCCATAGCAATCGTTTCATGTGTATATATGCGTGTATATACATACAATAACAAAATTTGTATTTGAATTTTGTGTTTTTGTTTTTGTTTTTGTTGGGTTTGGCTCGTTTTTGATTTTTTCCACACCATGTCTTACTCGTGTCGCAGTGATGAGCAAACCTAGTTTTAAAGTTTTTATCTTTGTTTGCTTTCAATTCTCAGAGCGTGGTTTTGCACTGTTCGTACGTTTGCCGTGCTCCCCTTAAACTATTTGTTATTTTGATTTCCCAAAGAGCTTAAATTCATTAGTTTTCTAGTACTTAGTTTGTAACCGAATTGATTTGATTTTTGTTTTTGTTTTTGTTTTTCCAGTTCTGTTGATTTGCTTTTTCCAGTTCTAGTGATTTGTTTTTCCAGTTATAGTGCATTTGCACTTTAATATGCTTTGGTTGAATCAATAGCCTTACATGTTGGATAGGTGTAGTTTTTTTTAGTTTTGTTAGAGGATCTCCAAGCCTTCACCTTCTTTTTTTTGATCATATTTGTTCAACAATTTATATCAAATGCTTGATTTGATATAACTCACCCCTATGGTGAGAATCAATTTTTTCATCAAATCTTTTCTAAAATATTTAACCTATTCCGAAATTCTCCTTTAACCAATTCAGATGAAAAAATTTGATCTCCAATCTTTCATCTTTTAACAATTTTATCAAATTTAAGTGAAAAAAGGGTTGTTGGAAATATGAGGAAAGATTTGATTTTTATCCCTCCTTCGATGAAATTTTTGTTGAAAACTTGATTTGATATAAGTTTGATCAATTTTTTCATCAAATTTAAATTTGATGAAGGATTGGAGATGCTCTTAAGTGGGTTTGCACTATGCCCTTCGTAAGATCAACAAAATTCAGTGGGAAATTGGATCGTATTTTGCTTTTATCAGCTGATGATAATTGGTTGAATGTGGTTGCTTATCTATTCAAGATATGGGCAGTACCTTATTTATTGTTTACTTACATATATATATATATATATCATTTAGTTTGTTGAGGACTAGAAATAATGCAAACATTGTATTGGAGGGCTAAGCTGTTTAATATTGAAGATTAGATAGGTTGTCAATTAACTAAAAGTGTTGGCTAGTGAAATAGTGCTTGTTTACACCCAAGTCTTGGTTAGTACTTCTGTACTGTTCTGGACCCCTTAATGAGAGTTTACAGGAACTCTAGTATACAAAATTCTGATTTGTTCAAGTACTTAAATGGTTGATGATAAAAATGCTTTGCTTACCAATTTTACTTGCTGGTTTTTCCTTACATCCTCACAGACCTTACCGGTTTCATGCATGTAGACCATTCAAATAACAGGCTACAATTTTTGGATTGGGTAAAATATCTTAGTCAGTGTTTGTCCTCTTATGGGGATGGGGTTGGAGTGGGTTTAAAGGTGATTTACAAGATTGCATTTCGATATTGTTAATTCAGTGTGTTTAATTGTTTGTTTAATGTTTGTGTCACCAGTCAATGTCTTATGCAAAGTTAGCTGGGCTGCATCCGATCTATGGACTTTGTAAGTTTTTAAATAGAATTATCATGTTATCCAATTTGTATCGATTATATTTATTGCAGAAATATTGTTACAACTTATTTCAACTAAATTCTGTTCTTCAATTTTGATAAGATTTACTTTCAATTGATTTCTGCATGAAATTAGTTTTTTCCTCCTTTTTAATCCGAAATTTATGCATCGATAGAGCAAATTCTGTATTTTGATATCTTCGAAATTTTTGAAGTGCATGAACTTGAGACTGGACATTTGAAGTTTAAATATTTTCCGGTATATGTTTTTTATCTAATACTAGTGATCAGAACTCAATTGCGATGACATTGTGGCATTTTTCAATGTCACAGTGCAGCTACATGATAAATGCTTTAGTTGGCTGATTTTACTTTGGTAATTGGGTTGTAATTTGCAAATCTTTCCTTATGTATCATAACGGCTTATGTAACTGCGGCATTCTTGTTTTGGCTTTGCAAGTCAGATTCTGGTTTTATCCCTATATTTGTCTATGCCATCTTTGGGTCATCTCGCCAGCTTGCAATTGGTCCAGTAGCATTGGTTTCCCTCCTGGTCTCTAATGTCTTAGGCAACATAGTTGATTCATCTGATGAGTTGTACACAGAACTTGCAATATTATTGGCTCTGATGGTTGGGGTTTTAGAATGCATAATGGGGCTCTTGAGGTACTTCTTCCTTTTCTGGTTTGCTTTCGTTTTTGTTTTCATTTCTGTTTTGATATCTATTTTTGTTTCAGTTGTTCCATAGAAACTCAAAGATGCAAAGTGGGTTTTGCAGACTACACAACTATACTTTCTCTTGCACTTACACCACTTCATAATTTTTAGGAAATAATGTTTGTGTATCTCTTTGTGCATATGTTTCCTCTTGTACATGTCAAGTTCAATCTTCTCCAGAAACATAAGAAAAGTTTATAAAACCAACTGAATCTTGTAAGCCGGCTTGTGGATATTGGTGTTAGAAACAGTTATTTTAGTACGTTAAAGTTTCTGAGACATCTATATTCATAAGGATGTAAAATAAATTAAGATGGTAGTATTGTAAATTTTAGTCTGTACTGGTCACAGAATTGTTAAATAGTAAATTGAATCTAATAATTCAATTTTATCTTTAGCTCGGCAACTTTTGTTTTGAGTGCTTAAGCATTTGATAGTGGGAATAGTACACATGATGATTGGTTTCCCTTTTTTGTTGTTGTTGCCATCATTATCACCATTGTTGTTGCTATTATTATTATTGTTATTTTCTTTTCTTTTTTTGATAACTGGGTGTCTAAGCCATACATGCACCTCAGACTAATCCCAAGGCCTTGAAGTTAAACGATTGGGCAAACCTGTCGTGGCCCCTTGGAGGGATTCGAACTCAAGACATTGGATTTTATCCTCAAGTCTTTACTGCTCGGCCAACCCCTTGGGGTTTATTATATTTTTTGACCTTTACAACTCACCTCTCTAATTTTTTGGATGGATTTGTAATGAATTATTGAATGCTTATTTCTCTGTCTGTAGGCTTGGATGGCTTATTCGTTTCATCAGCCACTCCGTGATATCTGGCTTCACAACCGCTTCAGCCATTGTGATTGCCTTGTCTCAAGCAAAATATTTTTTGGGATATGATATAGTACGAAGTAGTGAAATTATTCCACTGATCAAGAGTATAATATCTGGAGCAGACAAGGTATCCTTTGCATGCCAAGTGATAGATCCTTTGAAGGGTAATCTATCCTAATGTCTGTATTTTCTCATAGAACTACATTTTAATACACCCTTTAGTCCATTTATAAGATGGTAGTTCAAGGATTTGTTACTTAAGCATAACATTTAATCACATGTTGATTAGTAGTTTAAAGAAAGTTGTAATATTAATGTATATAAACTGAAATGTATCTCGTAATCCTAATAGTTAGAATCCCATCCACTTCTAAGACATTCCTAGATCATTGTCAGAGTGTCGAACACATGTGCTGATCTCCATCACGATGTTATGGTGTTTTTCATACTTTCAAATAGCTGTAGTGGTTGGTCACCCAAATGATACGAGACAAGAATATTTGTTAGTGCACATGGGAACTGGGTGAAACTATGATGTATCTATTTGGGGATAACAAAAATTTTGTAAACATCAAGGAATAAATGTTAATTCCAATGTTCCCCATACAACAATTTGAAGTGGTATTCATATGATACATGTATCATGTTTTGTATGTGGTGAAATTTATGTTGGTTTGCTTCTATTTTTCTTTTGATTATACATGTGATTATAATTATAACAAAAATGTAGTCAATTAGAGACAAGACCTATCACCATACAATTGATTAGTCATGAGCTACATTTCTTTGAGACAGAGTACGTGGAGTACAATTTTAGTAACAGTAACAATGGAAGGAGAAGAGAAGTGAAGATTGAGGACTGAGCACTATCTAAGAGTGAACATTTTCATTATTAAGGATCGATTATCACAACGGCTGGGGAGATTGGAGAAGATGTGGTCCATAAAATTAAGGCAGGTGTCTTAAGTAGAGGAGTGCGTCTGGGGTATTGTGCAATAAACGAGTACCCACTAGACTAAAAAGGAAGTTCTATAGAACGGCTATTAGACCTGGGATGAAATGTTAGGAAATTAAGAAACATGTAGATAAAATGATTGTTGTTGAGACGAAGATGTTAAGGTGGATGTGTGGCAAGATTAAAAAAGACAGGGTTAGGAATGAGTATATTCAAGAATGGGTAGGAGTAGTACCGATAGAAGATAAGTTGAAGGAGAATAGATTGAGATGGTTTGGTCATACACAACGGAGACTAACAGAGGCAGTTGTGAAGAGATGCGATACAGCGATGGTAGATAGAAGCGTTAGGGAAAGGGGCGGCGGATCTAGATTGACCTGGGCTAGTGTAGTAAATAGAGATATGAATCTCCTTAATTTGACTGATGATATGACTTTGGATAGAGTCGAATGGAGAAAAATGATTCATGTAGCCGACCCCATTTGATGGGACGTAAGACTTGGTTTGGTTTGGTTTGGTTATACAAAACTTCTTTAAGTTAATTATAATAACCAAGAGTTCTAATTGAGCTCAAATTTCTTATAATCTGGATAACCTTTTGAATTCATTTATGTTGGTTGAAAATGGTTCATGAATAGCAAGTGATCAATGCATTAGAACCATAGAAAAAAAGTAGGAAAAATATAAAAAGAGGAGTGTTTTGGGTCCTTGGTAAACTATCTTATGTGGCTATTACATTTGGCTGTAGTGTTTTTGACACTCCCTTTTTTGACAAGGCAGTGGGGTTGATGCTTCTACTGACACACTTGATAAATAACCAGTGGTCTGATATTGCTGTATTTGTTTTGTAAGTTTGATATCTCAATCAGTGGCAATCTATATAGCAATTGGTAGTGAATAATTGTTTCTTAATTTAATGCCCCTTTGTATGTAATTTAACAGCTATTTTATGTTTAACCATCTAAAATTAATGTTTACCTTGTCATTTACTTTGGTAATATCAGGATGAAGGACTCACCTTTTTTTTTTTGTTGATTTAAGTTTCTGTTCAACTTGCTTTGCCTTTTTACTGATTCAAACTGTTCTCAACACAAATGGTGATTTCCTTTTGTAGTTCTCATGGCCCCCTTTTGTAATGGGATCAATCATACTAGCCATTCTTCTGGTTATGAAGCACTTGGTATGAGCTTATAATTGGTTGTCTTGTGCAGTTCTTGTGTTTACCTGTAGCATTCTAGATTGGCTAATCATTTGGATGGTTTCTTGTATAGGGAAAATCAAGGAAGTACTTGCGGTTTCTACGGGCAGGTGGTCCCCTTACAGCAGTTGTTTTGGGTACAACCTTTGTGAAAATATTTCATCCATCTTCAATTTCTTTGGTGAGAATAACATGAATTGAGGTTATTCTAAACTCTACTGGAATTGATTGAATCTTAACAATATAGCCACGAGATCATTTCATTATAACCTTAGGCTTAGAAGTAATAATATAAAGTTAGCATCTTTCTTATTTATTTATTTACCTTTTTGTTTTCACTTGCTGTCATCTAGAAGGTATCTATTTTTTCCCAAAGATATAACCTTGTGATCCCTTCTACTTGGAATTTCAACCGAAACTGAAGTGAATCAGTTGTTTCTTTTGATATTTTCTCCTCTCGACTGCAGTGAATCCTACTGTGCTATCCCACCATATTGAAGACAGTACTTTGTCAGTGCTTTTGTTGTGGCATAATGTTCATACACACAGCTGTACAGCTTATATTTGACAGTATGGGATGATATCCGTTGAGTGTGAAAGCACAATGGAAAGTCAGAGACTATATCATGAGGTCTCATAAGGAGACTGACCAGAAAGAAAGGGAGTAGGCATGCGGTTGAGAAGAAAAGCAGCAGTAAGAATTGCCTCCCCCTAAAATGGAGCCGGAACTGAGGCAGAGAGAAGAAGAGACCTAGCTATTTTAAGGAGATGATGGTGTTTACGCTTGGCTTGACCATTTTAGGCAGGTGTATGTGTACATGAAGTTTGGTGAATAGTATCCAAATTGGCTAAATACTCACAAAACTCATTTTTAAAATATTCTCTACCCAAGTCAGACCGTATTGTAGACCCAAACTGAGCAGTAAGCATAGATTGAAAGGTATGATATATCTGATAGAAATCGGATTTATGAGTTATAAGATAAACTGAAGTATAACGGGTGTAGTCATCAACAAATGACACATAATATGCAGAATCTCCTTTGGTGAGAACAGGAGAAGGGCCCTAAACGTCAGTATGAACTAAAGAAAATAGTGTATTAGATATAGAAATACTTTTATGAAAAGGTAAGGCTGTCATTTTGGCAAGTTTACACTCCTGACATTCAGTAAGTTCACTAGGGGAAACTTTACCCAATATACTAGACTGAGCTAAAGACCGTAAGCGATCAGCAGACAAATGTCCGAATCTAGAATGCCACAAGTAGAAAGGACTAGACAGAGGATCTAATTGAAAAGAGGAAAAGGCAGTCAGAAAGGTTGCCATAGGCAGATGCAAGCTCTCCACTACACAAAGGTCTCCAATGCTACTGTTGGTCCCAATCTGCCACTTGGACATCTGATCCTGCACATAATAGATAGATAAAGAAAAGATAACATCAAAATCAGAGGCATCAAGTTGATTGATAGATAATAAACTGACAGATAACTAAGGAACATAAAGGACAGATGGAAATAGAGACAACAAATATAGCAAATGGTAAGACAGACCTAACAGATATAACAGATATACCAGACTCATTTGTAGCATTAACAGTAATAGGAAAGGGAGGGGGAGTACAATTTTGAAGTAAGAAGAGATAGGGAGTCTTATGATGGGAGGCACTAGAGTTAAAAATCCAGACAAACGAAGAGATAGTTGAAGAAGAATCAAACCTGAATGAAGAAAGGAAACAACAGAAACAGATGGGGAGGGCTAAGAGGTAGACAGAACATACTGAAGCTAACCAATTTGGGCACTCAAGGAAGCCAAGTCAGGAACAAAAGACTGAGCAGATGCAGTATAAACGGTGAGAGGAGCACGAAACTGATTCTGAGACTGTTGAAGGGACGAGGTAGCTAAACGTCCCTTCTTGGGACAATGATACTTCTAAAGGCCTCTCTGATGGCAAAAGGTACACTCATCAATAGCAAGAGACATAATAATGACCAAACTAAGGGGTTTATGTGTAATAAATTAGAACACCTGAAGGGAGAGAGACCTCACAACCTGAAGCAAAATGGCGAATCAGAAGTCGACTTGAGGCTGTTGATGAGTCGACTCGAATAGAGGACCCGACGAACCAAATAGATCGCTGACCCAGAGAACTCAGAGGGAGAGAGGTTGAAGTCGAGAGAAGTCGAGGGAGATAACTCACACACAAGAACAACGATCGAAGCACACAGAGGCAAGGAGAACCAGAAATTGATCTAGGAACTAGATGAACCACTATTTCGATGGCCTAGAAGCCAGATAAGGTCGCGTCACAGATGAAGACGACGACGACGGCAGCACTAGGGTTTCGAACTAGATCAACGACGGCAGCACTAGGGTTTTGAACTAGCTTTGGTACCATGTAAGTTTCTGAATAAACTTGTATATTCAATTATGTATTTGATTACAAAAGACCCTAGATTATATAGCCCTAACTCCTAAACCAAAAAAGGAAAACACAATCCGCCTCAACCACGCCTCAATCATGCCTATACACAATCACGCTTATAATATGTACGACCATAATCATGCCAAATATAGAATAAACACAATATATTCTCACAATGACCTAACCGTTTTAATACCTTTAAACAATAGTTACTGGGGATCAAGTGACATTTTTAGGTTTTCTAGTTGTTACACTCTTTTCTTTTAAAATTTCCGTCTTTGTGGTGCCAATCAAATATGCATTTTATTGTTTGGTGCTTAGTTAACCTTGTACCCTTCTCCTTCCTTAGGATGAAATATTGCTCCTTGCATTCTTTATATCAACAACGAAAACACAAGTTCAATTTTTTTTTTTGAAAAGTAAAATTTGAAAGGAAAGCAGAGTTAAAATAGTGCCACAAGTTAGATCCATTGGCAGGTTTGTATGGAGTATGGAGCTACTATCGCTTTCAAGTATAGCTTGTGTGTAACGCACACACAAGGGAACATACGGGTACAAATTGCCCCATCCCAAGCCTTGGGCTCTCATCAACCCTTGAAGATGTGTTGAACATCACCTCCTAACGTCACCCTTAAGGCTCTTTAGGACAACCACAGCCTTCTTGTCCCCAAGCTTGCGTACACTACGCAGATAACTTACTATCTGTGAGTTACAAGAGTTCCTTGCATCATAGGATCTTGGTCAAGCCTGTGTCCTATAAAATTGGAAAAATACGAGCAAATGTTGAACATGTAGATCTTTCTACCTATTTCCAATCTGTTATTGTTGTTGTGGGAGGTAGGTTAGTGAGCAGGCTGTGGAACCTTATGGAAGTTGCAGTGGTTTTTGATATGGTGTTGAGTCACCGTAGAAGCGTTGATCCAGCAAGAGATAGCTGGTTCTCCAGAGGTCTGATGGTCTTATTATATTGGAAGGGAATGCCTTTTAGGAGGTTCAAACCAGATGAGTTGGCCGCCACTTTTGGCTGACAACCGTATCAGTAATCATGTCGGGCATCGGTCTATATGAGAGTCCGTAATACATGTCACGGTGTAGGCCTCTTGAAGGACAATGAGACGAGCCTCCTTGACAAATTCTTAAACTCTAACCTTTAAGCCACAAGAACCTAATGATCTTTTTGGATTGCTTGGGTGTCTGATGACTGTGGTGCCAAGGCCTAGGTTAGCACATAAGTGTCTAGGTGCCTTCTTGAGGTTCTTGGAAAACTTTGCTTGTAGATTTTAGGGTAAAGATTGCTTCGTTAGAGAACTACTTGGTCGAACTGGGAAGACCAAGCTTGAGTGTTCTATGGAGATGACCATACTTGGTCATAGAGTGAGTGCGATAGCACTTGTGGGGGGCCATAGCCGAGTGCGTTGGCTCAAGGCTAGCACTAGCACACTTGGCTATTTATGATTGATTCAGGTGTCACCTTATTAGGATGACACGTGGTTGTTAGATCACTAGCAGTCCCAAAAACTTAAGCTGTTAGGAAAGGGGCCCAGTCCCAAAAACATAAGTTGTTAGGAAAGGGGCCCAATGCATATCAGTCTCCAACACCTGCCTCGTACGTGCAACCCCGTTTTGCATGTGGAAATGCAAACGTCCAAACTTGTAGAGAAACAAAATGCACATGGGAAAATAAATACAAGTGAAGAGACTTGAACCTAGACCTCTTCTAACCTGAGCTCTAATACCATGCTAGATCACCACTAGTCCCCAAAGCTTAAGCTATTAGAAAAGCAGCCTAATAATACATATCAAGATCTCCAATAGGGGTGCAAGTAAAGCCACCAAACCAAATGAACAGAGAAAAACCGTCTGAGTCGTTTCTTTGTTTTTATTGGTTTTTTCATAGCTCTTGGTCAGTGCAGTTTGAAGAAAAAATTGTTGGTTTTACCGTGAATCTGCAATTTACAAAATTCTAAAGCAGAAGTAGATGAAATTGATCAGATAGATATTATTATATATATATAACTATATGACATGCTTTTCCATCATGATGCCTGGGTCATACATCTTTTGTATTTGAATTGTGTGAACAATAGAATAATTGTATGAGAAGATGGAGTAAGTGGATGGTGGGAACCATATTTTGTCTTAGGCTTGCATGAATAGAGAGAAAAAAAGATGTGTAAATGTGATGTGGGTCCATGCCTTCTATTTATGGCCACATTAAGAGAGAAGTAAAGAGTGAGAAGAAGAGAGAGAGAAGAGAAAAGAAGAAAAGAGAAGTTTAGAAATCATGTTTGTGAATGGTAATTTAGAGAAGAAAAGGAGGTATTGATCGCAATTAGCCAAAAAAGGTCTTTTACTTTCTTTCTTGCCCTTATTCTCTGAGAGTGATGCACTCAGTATAGCGGTTCAATCATCAATGGTGTTTATGAGGGGAGAGCCATTGGTGGCAAAGCTATTCAGCACTGTTGCTTCCAGGAGCCATAGTTGCTGCTCTCATCAATTCTCCTTCGCATTACTTTTCTTCCAAGAAACCTGATGATGATCAATCAGGGTTCTAGTATGTTAATAGTCCTGATAGCTGTTTTTTGTTTGTTTAATTCCATATGTATCTGTATGGGATATGAAATATTTTTGGTTCATATGGAGAACTTTGAGCAGCTCTTTGTGTAATTTATCAAATTTGGCGACACCGATGAACAAGCACATAAGTGGATACGACTCCAGTGTGAATTCGTGTACTGATTGCTTGCTACATCTTGGAGTTAGCACCCACCTAGAGTCCCAAATTCTCAAATCAGTCTCTGAGCTCTTAGCCTCTCTCCATCTTGTTCTACCAAAACAATTCAGCTTCTCTCTGATTGATCTGAAAGTTAATTTTCCCCTTTTATGTTGGCTTATTAGTCATTATTATCTAGGTTTCCTTTTTCTTGTCCATAATTCCCAAACTGACTAAACCGAACTTGACTGAACTGGTCCAATACATATATATATATATATTTCAGTTATTTAATTTTATCGGTCAGTTTCAGTGTTAACCAATACGGTCGGTTTGGTTGAAATTTTACGTCTCACCCCAACGGAACCAATTACACCCGTACTCTCCAACAGTGGCATTGGGAAGTTGATATGATGGTGACGAGGGTCAAGCCACGTGGTTGGTGAACCCATGTACCTACAGTTAGTTATTTATTTTGCCTACATTATTGATTTAAAAATGTACTCTTATTCTTTTTCTTTTTCAGTGGAAAATGATTTTTAATATAAGTTAATTGTGACTAGAGCTTGTGAAGATATTGGACTTGTGTTTTAGGTAGGAGATATACCTCAAGGCCTCCCAAAATTTTCTATTCCTAAAGAATTTGGATATGTGACGTCTTTGATCCCGACTGCGATTCTCATCACGAGTGTAGCGATATTGGTAAGAAAAAAAATATGTAAATCATGCAACTACTATTTGTTTTTATATTCGAACTTATCATTATTAATTCAACTTCATTATTCTTCAACTCTAGGAGTCTGTGGGGATTGCCAAAGCATTGGCAGCGAAGAATGGATATGAGTTGGATTCAAATCAAGAGGTATGCTTTGTAAGACCTGGAAATGCAGATGTTTAAATTTTACAAATCCTTCTCCATTACTGCATGTAATGAAAACTTCTGTCAAAATGAACTTGTCATCAAACAATATCATAATATTATCTTTTGCTTTTATTTAAGCCATTTTTAACCATACCAAATCTGTCAACTTCAACTTCGGCAAAATGGTGCTGAATGTGTCTGGCACAACTATTGCGTAAAGAGTTCTTAACATGTACTCATCGTCACCATTAAATTGTGGACAAAAAGTTGTCTGAAATTATGCATGGTGTTTTTGAGATCTTTGTTTGGTCATTTGTACCAACATAAAGTAATTTAAATGGAGTCCCAGTCATGTGTTCCGCCTCACAACTAGACCATTTAGCTATTCCTGTGTGGTTGCTCTAATACAAAGTGGAGTCTGAAGTTCATAATCTTCAAATGGTGCCGGCATTTTCTTGTAAGTTATGTTATTGGATTTGTATATGTTAAGTTACCAATTGTCCCAAAAGCTTAAACTATTAGGAAATGGGCCAACAATGTATATGAAGCTATTTAACACCCTCCCTCATGTGCAACCCTATCTTGCACGTGAATAAACAAACTGAGAACCACATAGAAGGAGAAGCAAACAATGGGGAATTTGATTACAATCAGACCTTACATTATATAGCCCTAACTCTTAAACCAAAAAGGAAAATACAATCACGCCTCTAATATGTATAACCACATGTCTAATTTAGAATATACACAATATATTCTCACACCCCCGCTCAAACTCAAAATGTTTTAGCAGAAAACACTGAGAGTTTGCTAAGAAGAAACTGAAGCCGAGCGGTAGTGTGAGTCTTGATGAAGAAATCTGCAAGTTACAAAGCCGAAGGAAGCGAGAGAGAGCGAGACTGCAGATGTTGGCAAACAAAATGACAATCAATCTCAATGTGTTTCGTCCGTTTATGGAAGACAGTATTGTGGACAATCTAAACAGCACTGCGGTTGTCACAATAGAGAGAGGTCGGAGAAGACTGAGAGACACCCAAATCAGACAGACACCCAAATCAGACAGGAGACAACGAAACCAAACAATCTCAGTAGTGGCATGAGCCATAGGATGATACTCAGCTTCGACAATAGAGCAAGCAACGACTGATTGTTTTTAACTTTTCCAAGAGATCAAGAAATCACCAAGAAAAATACAGAAACCAAACGTAGACTTATGATCAGTAACATCACCAGCTCAATCGGAGTCAGCATAGGCTACCAAGTCCAAAAAGGAAGTAGAGGACAATAGTAAGCCCTGAAAGATGGTACCCCTGAGTTAGCGAAGAATGCGAACCAAAGCAGCTCACTGGGTAGAGTGAGGAGTAGAAACGAATTGACTAACCACATGAACAACATAAGCAAGATTAGGGTAAGTGACAGTCAGATAAACTAAACAACCCACAAGCTCGCGATATAAAGTGGGTGCTTGGGAAGTTGTTATTTTAGTAGGTTATTTTAGTTTTTGGCTATTTTAGTAGGCTAAAATTTTTGTGTTTGGCAAGATAGTTTGATTTTTTTATAGTTGGATGTGATGTTTATGAAATAAAAAGTGAATGATTATCGGTTTGATGTGACATTTTGTTTTATTGGCTATTTTAGCCTATTTTGTTATTTTGTAGATTTTAGTCCAAAAAGTCAAAAATAGCCTTTGCCAAACACCCCCAAAGCGATCATCCAGAGGGACACCATCAGTAGAGTTAAGATTCACATTAAGCTCCATAGGTGTATTAGAAACCTTAGTATCAGTAAGACCAGCACGGTGAATGACTTCATTGGCATACTTAGCCTGAGACAGAAAACACCCTTTTGGAGAAGAAGCAACCTCGATGCCAAGAAAATACCGTAATGGACCCAGATCCTTCATTTCGAAGGTGCGGAAGAGATGCTGCTTTGGCCTCAGAGATACTAGAAGAGTCAAAGCCAATGATGATCATATCATCTACATATAGTAAGAGAGCAACAAAACCGGCCGAGATATGTCTCAAAAATAAAGTAGAGTCGGAAGCAGAAAGATGAAACCTAAGCTCGATAACAACAGTCTGAAAGCGATCATACCAAGCACGAGAATACTGCTTCAGACCATACAGAGCACGCCGAAGACGACAAACCTGGCCAGAAGAATGGTGAAGGCCAGGGGGAGGACACTTGTAAACCTCCTCAGTGAGATGACCATTAAGAAAAGCATTCTTAACATTCATCTGATAATGAGGCCAAGAACGAACAACAATGACAGAGATCAAAGTACGGATAGTAGTCATCTTGGCAACATCAACAAATGTCTCCTCATAATCAATACCATACTTTTGAGAGAAATCTTTGGCAACCAAACGAGTTTTGTAGCACTTAAGAGAACCATCAAAATGAGTCTTGACTTTATAGACCCATTTGCAACCAACCAGATTCTTATTAGCAGGCAAGGGAACCAAGTCCCAAGTACTAGTTTTTTGTAGAGCAGACAACTCATCCTCTATTGCTTGAACCTAATAAGGATTCTGACAGGCCTTCTTGTAAGACTAAGGTTCGGAAAAAGAGTGAATAGCAGACAAAAAAGTACAATAGGAAGCAGAAAAACATGTATTAGACCAACCCAACTTGTTTGGAGGATGACATGCTCGAGTAGAAGATCGGTGTGTAGCAAGATCTGAGTCGTCAGAAGTAGGAGGATCAACAGCAGGGGCAGAGACAACTGGTGGAGGAGGAGCCTTGAGACGAGAATAAACTAACACTGGAGGAGGAGAAGAAGCCGAAGGAGGAAAAGCAGCTAGAGGTGAAACAAGAGGAGAAGATGGAACAAGCTCAAGAGGGACTGTGGAGATGTTCTCATTAGATGAAACCTCAGAAGGAACTGGATCAATATGAACTAAATCCTCTTTGGAAATTGGGGTGGTAAGAGGAGGAAGCTGAAAGTAAGGTAGACGTTCGAGAAAGGTAACATGGTAGGAGACATAAAAGCGACGGGAAACAGGGTCATAACAGCGATAACCTTTCTGAGTGAGACTATAACCCAAAAAGACACATAGGACAAATTGGGCACTAAGTTTGGTCCTATCTGTATGGGGCAGATAGACAAAACAAGCAGACCTAAACACAAAGTATGGAGTAATTAGGAAGTTAAGAAAACATTGCCTCGTAAGGAGACCGACCAAAAAGAAGGTATACGGTTGAGAAGAAAAGCAACATCCAGAACGGAGGCAGAGAGGAGAGACGTAGCTGTCTCGAGGAGATGACGGTGTTTACGCTTAGTTCGACTATTTTGAGCAAGTATATCAGTACAAGAAGTTTGGTGAATGGTACCCAATTTGGCCAAATATTCACATAATTTAGTTTTAAAGTATTCTCCGCCCTAGTCAAACCGCAACAATTTAATACTAGACCCAAACTGTGTAGTGACCGTAGACTGGAAAGTACTGTATATTTGGTAGAAGTTAGACTTATGAGTTATAAGATAAACCCAAGCGTAATGGGTGTAATCATCAACAAATGACACATAGTATGCAGAACCCCCTTTGGTGAGAACAGGAGAAGGTCCCTAAATGTCAGTATGAACTAAAGAAAATAGTGTATCAGATATAGAAGTACTTTTATGAAAAGGTAAGGTTGTCATTTTGGCAAGTTTACGCCCCCGACATTCAGTAAGTTCACTAGGAGAAACTTTACCCAATATACTAGACTGAGCTAAAGACCGTAAGTGATCAGCAGACAGATGCCCTAATCTAGAATGCCACAAGTAGAAAGGACTAGACAGAGGATCTAATTGAAAATAGGAAAGGCAGTCAGAGAGGTTGCCATAGGCAGCTGCAAGCTCTCCACCACACAGAGGTCTCCAACTCTACTGTTGGTCCCAATCTACTGCTTAGACATCCGATTCTGCACAAAACAAATAGAAGAAGAAAAGATAACATCAAAATCAGAGACATCAAGCTGACTGATAGATAACAAACTGACAGATAATTGAGGAACATAAATGACAGATAGAATAGAGACAACAAACATACAGACGGTAGGTCAGACCCAATAGATATAACAGACATACCAGACCCATTAGCAGTATTGATAGTAATAGGAAAGGGAGGATGAGTACAATTTTGAAGTAAGGAGAGATGGGGAGTCATAAGATAAGAGGCATTAGAGTCAAAAATCCAGATAGACGAAGAAATACTTAAAGAAGATCTAAGCAAACCTGAATGGAGAGAGGAAACAATGGAGGCAGGCGGAGAAGGCTGGGAGGTAGACAATATATGCTGAAGCTGACTAATCAGTTTATGCTGAAGCTGACTAATCTGAGCAGTCAAAGAAGCCAAGTCATTATCAGGAGCCGGAGCAGATGTAGTAGAATCGGCAGGAGGCCAAACGGTACACTGAGGAGGAGCGCAGAACTTGATTGGAAACTGTTGTGAAGACGAGGCAGACACAAGCGAAGCAGACATGCATCCCTTCCTGGGACAATGATACTTCCAATGACCTCTCTGATGACAAAATGCACACTCATCAGAAACCAGAGGCATCATAGTAACCAGAAAACTGAGGGCTTCAAGTGCAATAAAACAAAATAGCCAAACTAGGGGTTCAAGTGTAATAATCACAATCTGAGGGGTCAAACTATAATAATAAGGAACTTATTTAGTCCAAACAAGAATAAAAGAGAACTGGGTCAACCAAATGTTAGAACCAGGTCATGACTAGGAGAGATGTCACAATGGGCGACTTCGAACCACACGCAGAGAGAGACAAGAGTCGAAGTCGACTCTGGAGCAGCCGACACAGAGTAAAGGGTCAAAGTCGAAGCCGATCGAGAGGAATAAGGGCAGACAACTCTTCGATCATGCAAATCGAAGCAGGAGAGAACCAGGGATGCAACAAGATGAGCTAGATGCAACTCACTAACCAGAACCAAAACTAGAGAGGATGAGTTACACAACCGCGACTCGTTCTCTCTGGGGTTGATAGCAATCGAGGTCCGAATCAGAGAAGGAGATGCAAGCTACAGACGACGAACCAGAAATTCCACTAGAATAGTCACGAATCAAGAGAGAGAATAAGCTCAATCAATTCGTGATTCAGAAACCAAAGAAAGAGTTGGTGAATCAAGCAGTTAGGGTTTTGATTACAATCAGACCTTAGATTATATAGCCCTAACTCCTAAACCAAAAAGGAAAATACAATCACACCTCTAATAGGAAAATACAATCATGCCTCTAAGATGTACAGCCACGTGCCTAATTTAGAATAGACACAATATATTCTCACATTGAATCCAAGACCTTTTTCAACCTAAACTTTGATAACATGTTAAGTTACCAATTTTCCCAAAAGCTTAAGCTATTAATCAACATCATAGGTTGCATCATCAATGCTAAAACAAAAGGTTCACATGGAACCTAAACATTAATTAGTATGCTTTATATTTGGTCCATGTTTCATTTTTCCATTTGATGAAAGCACATTGCTTCCGAGGCTGTAGCTTCCCATAATTTAGTAACTTCAATAGTTTATGAAAAAAATTTCAATGTAAGGTCTATCAGTGGAACCATATATTATGAAGTGTCTTTAATTGATTCAAAGATGTCTTTAATGATTACAGGCTTAGCACAAAGAGGGGAAAAAAAAAAAAAAAGGAAAGAAGAGTGTATGCAATCTTGTTATCCCTTTCAAATAGGTGCATTTGGTACTTCATTAAATAGATTTTTGTTTGGAAAAAAGTAGCTTTCATACGGACGATTTTTATTGAGTTGATTATGTAGCTTTGGAGAATCCATTACCTTAATATCATAGAATGCTTCTGTTGGTATCATGAAGTGGAAGATCTACTATTTCCCACACTTCAGTTTGGAGAGATGAAGTATATTCTCTAGTGAAGCAGAAGAATGCTAGAAAACTGTAGTTGCAATAATGATGATACTCCAATAATGCAATATGAATATCGCTAATGATAAATCCACAGACATTATGGGGGTGGTATAGATAGCCCTCTCTCATCTTATGGGGTCCACATTTGTGAGAGTTAGGGCTTTGATGCATTTATCTTACTACACAATTTGGAAACAAAGAATCAAGAACCAGAAATAGCAAGAAATTGGTGCTTCTGTGTAGTTGTTTGGATCTTCAAACCAAAAATGCTGTTTCTTTTATTTGAACAAAGAATGGGAAAGCAGTTCTGACTGTTTCAGTTGTTTTTTTGTTGCAGTTGTTTGGTCTTGGTGTGGCCAATGTCTTTGGTTCATTCTTTTCTGCATACCCCACAACAGGTGAGTTTTTTTGGGGTCATAAGCTGCATAGGGGGTTTATAGTAAATCTCAGAGCAGAGATGGAAATAAAAATGATACACTTCATATTTTATGACTCTTATGCATCTTTGAACCACTCTATTAATGGGACATACTTCTAACTTTTAGGAGACAATTCTTCTGTTTTGAATGTGTTGTGTAGGTTCCTTTTCTAGGTCGGCCGTCAATCATGAAAGTGGAGCAAAAACTGGATTATCTGGAATTGTAATGGGAATCATAATGGGTTGTGCACTTTTATTCCTGACTACATTATTTGAGTCCATACCACAGGTTTGGTTTCCATGTTGATTCATTGATGTGTTTCTTTAGGAGGAACTTCATTAGTAGCCCAGATAACCATGTCCAATTATCTTGTGGATTCTTATTTCCAAAACCAAGTTTTGCTCATAATATTAATTTTCCACTGATTTTTGTGGTGCCCATCAGAAACTTTAGTTGTTTGAGAACCTTTTCACCTATTGTTTAATTTGTTTTTCTTTTTGTTTTACCTGCTTTATTGTTCCACTTATCAAGAGATATGTCTTCGAGTTTGCTCATAATGTATCTTGTGGTCTCTATCATCTCCACAGTGTGCTCTGGCTGCCATTGTGATTTCTGCTGTAATTGGACTGGTGAGTTTATAAGATTTTAGACTTTGAAGTCCATAATCTTGTTTAGGTCCACATGGTTGTTGTACTGTCCAATTTGCTTGTTGTCTGTGGTTTACTTTTCAAGTAGAATATATTGGTTTAGCATTTGACATTGATCTCAAAATAAATTATTAGCTTCCTTTGACTTTGGCCATCCTGCAATGTTTAAGGAGGTCTGCTTATGCCCAGATTCCTCAGACATGCAAAACCAAGTAAGAAATATCCCTCTATTCCTTGTCAATGACGGAATTTTAACATGCATGGTCAACCACAAAAAAGTTCATGGTAGAAGAATGGGGATCCTATATTAATTATTGTTGTGTCAGGTGTTTTAGTGTAATTTAAGTGCATAGATATACGAGGATGCATTGTACTGATTACTTTGTTTAGATTGCAACTATAACTTTTTGTGATTGTTATTTTTCAGGTGGATTATGAAGAGGCTATCTTTTTATGGCATGTAGACAAGAAAGATTTTCTTCTTTGGACCATTACAAGCGCAACAACTTTGTTCTTTGGTATAGAGATCGGTGTCGTTGTTGGGGTGAGCATTAATATATATATATATATACATATCTTTGTGACGTGTTACAAGTTTTGTGGGATATTAGGACATACTAGTGTCAACTTTGCACACCCTAACAGCTAAATCTTTCTTAGCTATAAATATTTCTAGGCTTACAGAAATTGCAAAATTTATCAACTTTCATTGTTAATCCGATATCCTTTGACATCATTTTAGGGGATTCTTGAATGTTTTTTAAATTTCATAGTAAACTTAGAGAGTAGTTCATAGTGCATCTCTTATAAAAGTGAGCAAAAACTCAATATGTAGTTCTTGCGATTTGACTGCACTATGTAGCCAACGTTTAGTTCTTACTTCTTAACCATGAGGCATGAAAGTTTTCCCTTTTGGCTTTGCTAATGCACATAGAACCTTAAGGTGGATGATGATACCCTTAGGTGCATACTTCCTAGAACATTGTTGTTAAAGGTGAGCCTAGGACCCAAAAAAGTCCTAGGCTCGTTAGGGCTTGAAGAAGTGACAAAAGTAGGAGAATAAATAAGAGTCTAAATATATATATACATATTTTAACCAAGCCAAATAGATAATGACCACACTTATTATTATTATTATTATTATTAAACAATATATAGATGGACACACACAAACAAAATGGTTGAGTGATAGCAGTTGAATAGAATAGCATAGGTCTTACAGTTTCAACAAATCAATAACATGTTCATCTTTCTTCTTCTCTCTCTCTATCTCTTGCTCCTTCATCTTCTCTTTTTATCTTCTATCTTCTCTCTATTCCTCTTTCGCCATTTTCAGCTCTTTTTTTTTTGTGTGTATTTTTTCGAAAGAAGCAGTTCGGAACCGTTACGTAACGGTGTGTAACAAGCCATTACGGCTGTTACGGCGCCGTTACGACCGCTACGGCAGCTGTTACGGCCGACACACCTGTGAATCTCAATCACACTGCAAAAGCAGTCGTAACGGGTGGTAGTAACCACCACAACCGTTACGTAACGGCGTCACGTAACGGTTGTGGATGTTTTTTAAAACCTTTACCAGATCCATTAACAGTATTAATAGTAATAGGAATGGATGGGGGAATACAATTTTGAAGTAAGGAAATATGAGGAGTCATATGATGAGAGGCACCAGAATCAAAAATTCAGACAGAAGAAGGGATACCTGAAAAGGACCCAAGCAAACCTGAATGAAGAGAGGTAAGAGCGGAGGCGGATGGGGATGACTGAGAGGTGGACAGGATATGCTGAAATTGTGTAACCTGAGCACTCAGGGATGCCAAGTCAGCATCAGGAGCCAGAGTAGATGCAGTGTAAGCAGCAGGAGGTCGGAAAGTACTCGAAGTAGGACCGCGGAACTGTGTCTGAGAAGACAGAGCTGGCTAACGTCCCTTTTTGGGACAATTGTGCTTCCAATGACCCCTCTGATGGCAGAAAGCACACTCATCTGGCCCTAATGGTCCTTTCTTGGGTTTCGCAGTGGCCTAAAGCTAATGAGGAGGTGGGATCGATAACAAGGGCGGCTTGGTAGAGGCCAAGAACACAGAAGGAGGCGAAGTCTGACTGGCCGTCTTAAGACGGGTTTCCTTAGAGAGGAGTTCATGAACAATAGCATCCACAGAGGGAAGAGGAGATCGGTGAAGAATGCCACCTCGAATAGCCTCATACTGAGGGGAAAGAGCTGTTAAGAACTAGACTAAACGACCCTGCTCCTGAAACTCAATATAAGCGTCTAGTATCTTGAGACTAGGTGGTTCCATAAGAGCCAACTAATCCCAAACACCTGTCATCTCAATATAAAAGTCCTAAATAGTCTGATCCCGCTGACGAGCACTCTGAATAGTTGTTTCCAACTCATACCGCTTGACAAAGTTGGACTGCTGATAAACACCGAGTAAATAATCCCACACTTCCTTGGCAGTACTGTACTTGGAAAACATCATTCCAATACGGTCATCCACAGAATTATGAAACCAGGTTAGAACTTGGGCATTATCACAATCCCAAGTGTCACAGGAAGACAGATACCCTTCCGCCTTCGGATCCGATGGACGAGGAACAGAACTAGAAACATAGCCTCATTTTTTTTGACCAAGAAGAAAATTTTTCATGACACTGGCCCAATAGGCATAATTGCCACCAGTGAGTTTACATTTGATGGCTTGGATTTTAGTATCCGACATTGTAATAAAACAAAATTTGTAATAAACAGACGAATATGGGGCTTTAGTGCAATAATCCTGAAATAGGGTTTTAAATAGAAATAGCTAAGTTGAAGACACAGAGAGAGAGGCTGAGGCTGAGAAACGAATCAGACACAAATCGTGAGGAAGAGAGAGGCGGACGAACCAGAGAGCCGAATTAGATGGCTGCGAATCGAATCAGACAGAGATCGCAAGGAAGAGAGAGGCCTTCGCGAGATGAACCAGAGAGAGCTAGGGTTTCGAACCTTCGTGAGTCTGGAGAGAGACAAGTCGCGACTCCGATGGTGACAAACCAGTCGAACCAGAGAGGGCTGATGGTGATGACCTAGACAAACCAGAATGTCACCACTTAGGGCTGATCACGAACCAGAAGAACCAAGGCGGGTTCAAGATCGATGACCCTTTGACCAGCGAACTATGATAGCGACAAGCGAAGCAGCTAGGGTTTCGAACCTAGCTCTGATACCATGTAAGATTTCTAAACAAAACTGTATATTAGATTTAATTGAACAAAAAATACATACGTCACTCATTTATATAGAATATTAAATCGTAATCCTAAACAAATAATACATCATATAGTGTTCTATTAGATATAGAACACTAACACTAATTCCTAATCCTAAAGGGAAAAGGAAAATGGAAAATGGAGAACAGTGTTCTCACAATCATGGCAAAACCTAGAACTCTAATACCAAACTGATGTAGGATGATTAGGGACAGGCTGTGAGCACTGTAAAGAAAATTTTCTGTGGGTTTTTATGGTTGCTTAAAGCTGAAAATCAATAGGAATTTTAGGATTTTAATTAATGAATGGAATGAACTATGTTTAGGATTAATCAATGTTCCATATATATATATATATATATATTTTCTTTTTAAGTATCTTTATATCCATCCGGCATGCCTAATTGCCTATCATTCATGTACCCTAACTTCACTCAAGCTCGAGTTTATGTTGCACCTTGCACTTGCACTATAGGAGACATTGGCATTTTAGCACGTGTTGAGCATTTAACTATGGCGTAGAAACTATGTACATTGGTGCAGGTGCCGGGTGCAGGTAAATATGTGTCTTAAGTGTTAGATTCATCTAATTCTCATGCCCAAGGACATGAGGATGGGTTGTAAATTACATTTTTTAAAAATTTCCTTCATTTATTTAGGGTAAAATGATTTTATTTTATTTTATATTTTCCTTCTTAATAACACACAGCTTTTCATGCATAGAATAGGAGTTTCATGCGTAGTTCATTGTGAACTTTTCTATTTAAACATATTTGGTAGGTGCATATATGACTAGACATGTTGGACACATATCTCATACCCCAGTCCAAGTGTCAAGTGTCCGACATGGGTACTTCACAAATTTAGTAGAGTCTATGTAACATAGCCCTGAAGTGATTTCATGACAAGAAGTCAGTACTTTGATTTTGATTGTTGTTCAACCAGGTTTTGTTGTAGTACTTTATCTCTACTTGAATTCACATCAACTTTTTAATCCCCCACCAAGTTGATGAGGTATTGAAAATTGTAGGTTATGAAAGGACCCGTTAATCTATTATCATGGATGTTAAATTCATGATTTCATACTGCCAGAGACTGTAGAATTCATTGATACTGGTGATCTATGTGCTCATCTGTTGGCATGCTATTAAAGCCAACACCAGGTTATCTTTAACTTTGTCTCTCATCCTTTTATGGTCACTCCTGTATAGACTCCTATCCTGTCACCTCTATACTGCCCCTAAATTTCTTCCCTTGATTAAAAAAATCACAATCTTCCAATTGCTTTTTCCAACCATTGATAACCTCCCTTAGATAACTAAATATATATTGATAGGTAAGGTCAGGAGACCCAAACTCTCTCTCGTTATTGGTGGAGAGAATGCGACCTAACCTGTTGTGTTAAGATTGTCATCATTCATTTCTTGATAGAGACCCGTGTGCCACCCCTTTGAATATTTAGAGATGCAAAAATAAATAAATAAATAAAATAAAAATCTGGTGACAGAATGATCAGTTGTGTTTTTATTATGGAAAATTGTTTTTTTTTTTTTGGGTGAATATTATGGAAAATTGTTATTCATGCTGAACTGACCATACTAATTGAAGCATAAAAGTTGAAGATACGATAGGTTAATTAAGATAGTTGTCTATCTATGTTATGGGTCACCATAATCCTTGAGCCATTTATGGTACTATTGGTTGAGGCCCATACTTTATAGTTCAAACTGGCAAGGGTTAGAAGCATTCTGTTTGCTCTCCCTCTTTTCCCTTTTTTTTTTTCTCCCCTTCATTTTATTTTAAAATTTTTTATAGGTTTGAATTATGAAGAATGGTATTTGCGATCTTTTCCGTTGTTTCTTATCCATGGAAAACTGAGCAATTCTAGTAAGTTAATGCCTGAGTGTCTGGAGGTGTTGGTTTGCACAAGCCAAATGTATGGACAACTTATACCTTATTGTTCTAACTTTGTTTGGCTGTTGAGCTGAACGCTTTGTATTACTGTTTAGATTTCCAAGAATCTTTGTAGCTTCTCAATTGTTTCTTTTGATGCATTGTGTGATAGTCAAGGATAATAAAGAGTCTCCTTTTCATTAGTGGCAACTTCACTACATCCTTTCATATGTCCTTCCAAATTTTATAGTAATTGTCAAAACAAATTGACCTTTGCTCTTTGCTGCTGATTGTGCATAAAAAGTAAGTGTTCTGCATTTGTAGGTAGCACTTGAATATCTTTAGAATGCTGGATAAGTCTTTGCTTATTAAGTGTTGCAAAAATTAAATTTGTAGGTTGGTGTTTCACTTGCTTTCGTCATCCATGAATCAGCAAATCCACATGTTGGTAAGCTTATTCTATCATGATAATATGCATGTGCCTGAATGTCTCATGTTAATCATAATCTTTTTCTGGATTCCAATATCTCAGTGTATTATGCAAGTTAATTGGTTTGATCCAGTGTTTTTGATTCCTTGGTCTGTTTTGGATAATCATTTATCTTTATCATCGTTGTTGTCTTAATTGTCACCATCAATGTATTCATCTTCATTAACTTCATCATCATCTCAAAGCCTTATCCAAATGGACCGGGATCAGCTGCAGAAATTTCACTTTACCTTTCCATTCTGTCCAGAATCGTGATTTTTTTGTTTCTTTTCCCCACATTGAAACTTCTTCGTCCTTGGCGAGTCCTTTACATTAGCAATTGTCCCTTGAAGCAAACTTGTGGACTCTTTCTCATTTTATCATCTCTTGTACCTGATGCACAAGGCTCCCGCTCACAACAAGGTTTGAGAGAGCTAGTAGGTAAGCAGCCTTACCCAAATGTTTTTGTGGTGACTGATTCCTGTTACTCGAACCCGTGTCACATTTGCTGGGGCGGATAATACTTGCCGTCACGGCTGGTCACAACACAACCTGTGTTCATCATCTCATCGTAAATTCCATATTTTTTATTGGCTTCTTCTGCACATGTTTGTTCTTCATACCAGTTGATTCGGTAGAAGTTCCTTGTTGGCAAAATGGCAAAATCTGCTTTGGTGTTTGGATTGCAAAATAAGGAGTTGGCAGCACACACCCTGTTGTATATTTTATGTGCATCCATATTCAGCTTCCTGGATAAATACTTCACGATGCAGTTTTATCTCCTTATTCATGAATTTGTTTAATACTGCAGCTGTATTGGGGCGTCTTCCAGGCACCACTATTTATAGGAATGTTCAACAGTATCCAGAAGCATATACTTACAATGGGATTGTGGTTGTTCGAATTGATGCACCAATTTATTTTGCCAATATAAGTTACATAAAAGACAGGTGAGTCAATTCCTTTATGTGAAAATTATTAGTACAGTGTAAAAATGAATCTAGTTTTCAATTGTTTGGCACTACCTAGTTTCCAAATTAAGGGAGAAATTTTGAATTATCTGGTGTTCATTTCTCAGGCTACGGGAATTTGAATTTGAGGTTGATAAATCTACAAATCGCGGACCAGAAGTTGAAAGAGTTTATTTTGTGATTATAGAGATGGCACGTAAGTTTTCTTTCATTTTGTGTTTTCTTCGTGGTGTCCGCAAGTACCTTTCTATTTGACCCCATACTGAATTCAGTATTTTCATTTTCACATATCAAATATTTTGCAAGAGATGTTATACACCAATTGCCATACTATTCTGTTTTCCTTTCCCAGTGAAGTTTGTATTCTCTTTGTGGTTTCTATTTTGTCTTGTACTTTTTCTAAGATTTCCTTGAAGTCTTTTCCATTGTTCAAGACCTTTTTTAATTTGTCTCCCTTCAATTTCTAATCTATATGTAGTCTTAAGGTGGTGGTGTTGTTCCATTGTTTTATATCCATAATATAGTAAACAAGTCTCACAGGGTGGTTGGCCTAGTGGGTTGATGACTGGGGTCTGGAGATTTGCTCCCTCCCAGGTCTCAAGTTCGAATCCCCTAACCAGCAATGCATACATTGGGGTCACAGACCGCAGGGCATAAGTCCTATTTCAGAAGGCTTATTTGGGTTGTGGAGACTTAGTCTGGTGCGTAAGCTGGCCTGGGATACCCTACATAACAAAAAAAAAAAAAATGATGTGTATTAATCACTTCTATCTGAAACATCATAATGTCGTTTTGAGTAGCTATTTTCCATTCCACCTTTCTGCTGCTAAATTTGATCAGAACATGATGCTGATGAGCTATGAGTATTTTAATATTTGAAATCTGCTTTATTTCATTAATTTTATTTTGTAAGTTTTTGCCTGCATTTTCAGCTGTTACATATATAGACTCGAGTGCAGTTCAAGCTTTGAAAGACTTGCACCAGGAATACAAGTCAAGGGACATTCAGGTTGAAAATCCCCCTTACTGATGAATGGATTATAATACTTAAAAGTAATGATATTCAGTGTAAGAGGTTAGAGGTTTAAAGTGTAGTGTGAATATCATTGCTCCATATTTATTATGGTCTGTTACATCTCTCAAGGCCTTCTTGTTCTTTCTTTTCCTTTTAATGTATTTTGTTCTATCTCAGTATTTTGGATGCAGAGAATAAAAAATCCTCAAGAACATAAATCGGTATTAGTCTGTGTAACCCTGGTTTATATTGCAGATGGCCATTGCCAATCCAAACAGAGAAGTTTTGCTGGCGCTAACAAGATCTGGTGTGGTTGAACTTATTGGTAAAGAGTGGTTCTTTGTGAGAGTGCATGATGCTGTTCAAGTCTGCCTTCAGCACGTGCAGAGCTTAGACGTCTCACCTAAGGCACCAAAACCATTATCTGAAGATAAATCCACTTTCTTTCAGAGGTTGTCGAAACAGAGAACTGAGGAATTCCCAACTGCTGACTTGGAGTCGGGTGAAAGACATTCTCGGATCTCCAAAGATGCAGACCCTCAACTGGAGCCCCTGTTATCTCGGAAGTCCTAAAACTTGTGCCATTGTTTTGTGAGGTAGGGCTATATATATATGCATGTATACATACATTTTCACACGCCAATGCGTGTATATTGTTTATCCATTTTTTCCCAGCATTTCTGGGTGGTTTTATTTTATTTTATCTTAGTAGTTGTCTCCTTGTGAACATGCACTTCATGGCTACGTATTATAATGGGAAATTGAGTCCCTGCCATGCCCATTCAATTTAAATGTGTTGGTGTGAAGAACTACAGTTTATCTATGTTGTTGATGGTGGATACAGAAAATGTTACTTTGCTTTAAAGAAAGAGCACTGCAAGTAACTAACTATTGCTGGTTAGGCTGTATTGAAGTGTTTGGTTTGTTCTCCCTTGCTATAAGATACTGATGTTCATCATTATTACCATGCTTGTTTGGGGGATTGGATTTGGGGATAGAGGAGATAAGTAATTCCATAAACTTCTACATGTTTTTTTTTTTTTTTTTTTGGTTTTTGGTTTTGGGGTTTTTAATTTTTTTTTTTTTTTTTTAAAAAGGGGGTTTTTTTTTTAAAAAAAAAAAATAAATAAATAAGAGGATGGTGATGAAATGATGAGCAGGGGGATGATGAATATATAATGATGAAGAAAAATAATAAAGGTGGGAGTGGAAAAGAAAAAAATATATATATAATAATAATAATAATAATAATAATAATAATAATAATAAGAAAAAAAATGGGTCAAAGTGGGAGTGTGTGAAGAATTATTGTTCTAGAGGATGGTGGAAATATATTGGGGGAAATATATTATAATAAAAATATTGTAAGAATTTATGTATTATTGATTGATATTGTTGTTGTTGTTTACATTGATTCCTATATATAGGAGATGTGAAGTGGAGATGAAGTGGTGGAGTAGGTGAAGTGGAGGTGGTAGTAGTGTAGTGGGTTAGGTTTAGTGGAGTAGGTGAGGTGGTAGTGGTGGTAGGTGATGGTAAATTCTAACAGCCCCCCGCAAACTCAAGGGGGATAGGAACTAACCAACTTGAGTTTGAAGAGAGGAACAAAACAAGAAAACACATAAAAATAAAAGAGGATAAGAGACACTGTATGGTCGTGTCAGACCATTGGTGAAGACACTGGATG